GGAGCTGCTGCTGCTGCTGCTGCTGCAGCTGCTGCTGTACTTTAACTGCCTAGCAGGAACTGTCTCCGTTGGGCCAGCAGCAGCAGCAGCAACAGCAGCAGCAGCTGCAGCAGCAGCTGCTGCTGAGGATGATCAGCAACTCAGCGCCAGCGCATAGGAAGCGCCCTCTCTAAGAATTATAACGTGCTGCTGCTGCCGCAGCAGCAGCAGCAGCCGCAGCAGCAACAGGACAAACTGCAGCAGCAGAAGAGGGCGAGAACTGCGCGAATGCTGCAGCTGCTGCAGCGGCTGCTGCCTAGGAGGAAGCAGCAGCAGGCGCAGCAGCGGCAGCAGTAGCGTAGTCATCGCGCGCCAGGACGAGACAGCATGCATATACTGCAGTTGCTGCAGCGGCAGCATCTGCTGCTGCTGCCTCTGCTGGTGTTGCTGCTGCTGGGATGCGGGGCAATCATATGCGCTGGAGGGCTGCATGCAGGATGTCACAGCAGCAGCAGCAGCAGCAGAGGCTGCAGCAGCAGCGGCTGCAGCAGCGGCGGCCGCAGCAGCTTGGCGCTGCTGCTCAACCGCATGCAGCCTCTATCGCCATGGCCTATCAGCAGCAGCAGCAGCAGCAGCAGCAACTGGTGCAGCAGCAACGTCAATAGGAAGATAGCCTCCTTGCTGCTGCTTCCCCACGACAGACCTGCTGCTGCATGTCCTGCTGCTGTTGCTGCTCCTGCTGCTGGCAGGAAAGGATTGTCCTTCCTTCGTGCTGCAGTTGGAAGCAGCAGCAGCAGCAGCGGCAGCGGGAGCAGCAGCAGCACCTTTAGCAGGAAAGTTGGGCTGCCTCCCCAAAGCAGCAGCAGCAGCAGCAACAGCAGCAGCAGCAGCAGAACCCGAGGCAGCAAGCAGGCACTTGCAGCAGTTCGCATATCAGCTGCTCGGTAAGAAAACAACTAAACCCTAAACCCCAAACCCTAAACCCTAATTCTTAAACCCTAAACCCTAAACCCTAATTTTTATTTATGAGGGGGTTTGCTGCTGCAGGAGATTCTCTACATCTGCTGTTAAGAGACACACAGCAACACTAACAGCAGCAGCAACTGCTGCTGCTGCTGCTGCTGCTAAACATCTTGTTGGGGTTCTACGTGGTCACGTTGCTGCTGCTGCTGCTGCTGGTGCAGCAGCAGTTGCTGCTGCTGCTGCTGCAGCATACCTTCGTCACTCCTTGAAGCAGCAAACCCGCTCTGTCTATCAAGAGGTAAAAACCCTAACCCGCCTAAACCCTAAACCCTATTTCCTAAACCCTAAACCCTAGACCCTAGGAAGCAGCACACACAACTTGCGCGAAGATTTAGGGTTTAGGGTTTAGGGTTTAGTGTACATACACCTGAATGCATGCGCAGGTTTTTCTGAATCGTTTGCTGCTGTCTTTGGACCTCAAGAGTGTCCCTGACAGAGCAGCAGCAGCAGCTGCAGCAGCAGCAGCAGCAGGAGCAGCAGCAGGAACAGCAATGCAGCAGACAGAGTCTAGCGGTGGTGCCTCCTTGTCTCCCCTAGCTAGTTTGCTGCTGCAGCTGCAGCAGCAGAAGCAGCAGCAGATTGGTGCAGGAGGCGACACCGCAGCAGCATCTGCTGCTGCAACTGGTACTCCTGCAGCAACTCCAGCAGCAGCAGCAGCAGCAGGAGCTATTGATATGGAGCTGCTGCTGCCTGCAGCAGCAGCAAGAAAAGGGTTTGTTGGGGTGTATAGGGAGCTATCTAGATCTCCTTTTGTTGCTTTGTCTCCTTCCTTATCTTTGCTGCGGTGTCTGTCTCCTTATCTGCAGCTACGCAGCAGCAGCAGCAGCAGCAGCAGCAGCAGCAGTGCAGCACTACTAGCAGCAGCACTAAATAAAGTTTCTTCTTGTGGGGGGTGCAGCAGATTTACATTAGCAATACTTGCTGATCTGCAGCAACTAATTCTTTATGGTCTTGTATCTACACCTCAAGAGGTATAAACCCTAAACCCTAAACCCTAAACCCTAAGTTGTACACTAGCGGGGGGGCTGGGGGGAGAGGGGGGGAGAAAGGAGGGTTTACGTCGCGTCTACAGGTTGAGGGTTTTATATGTATTCATTCATGTTTGTCCTTTCTTTTTCTAAAGTTTAGGGTTTAGGGTTTAGGGTTTAGGGTTTAGGGTTTAGGGTTTAGGGTTTAGGGTTTGGTGTTGTTCAGATAGCTGGAGCAATAAGAGCAGTAACAGAACAAACAAAAGATATAAAAAGAGCGATGGATTTAATTTGTTTAGGTGATGCTGTTGGTCTTAATAAGACACATAAACAAGTAAACCCTAAACCCTAAACCCTAAACCCTAGATAGCAAAAACCCTAAATAGTAAACCCTAGAGGAGGTCGTGCGTGTGCCGCAATAACGCCAAGCCAAGAAGCCGCAAAAAAATTTGCTGATTTTTCTAGTTTTAGGGTTTAGGGTTTGGAGTCTAGGGTTTAGGGTTTAGGGTTTAGGGTTTAGGGTTTAGGGTTTGTGGTGCAGCTGTTGAGACCTTTATGGTTATCTCTTTGTCTTGGAAGTTCAAAACAATTAGATGAGGCAATTAAAGAAAGAAAGAGTAAACCCTAAACCCTAAACCCTAAACCCTAAACCCTAATAAGGGGCACAGAGAGGGGGCTGTATAGATAGACACTACAATGCCTTTCTTTCTTTGGTTAATTTTCTGCGCCTGCTGCTGCTGCTGGTGCTGCTGCTGCTGCAGTCAAGATGTACAGGAAGCACGTGCAGCAGCTGCTGGAGGCCGGCCTGGAATGCTGCCCGCTGCTGCTGCAGCATCAGGAGGCTACTGGCGGCAGCAGCAGCAACAGCAGCAGCAACAGCAGCAGCAACAGCAGCAGCAGCAGCAGCAGCAGCAGCAGCAGCGAGGGCAGCGAAGACACGAGCGAGGCTGAGGTATTCTTGCAGCCGTTAGAGTTGCTGCAGCTGCGGTGGTTACGGCAGCAGCAGCAGCTGCTGCCAGAGTCTCTTGCTGCAGCAGAAGAAGCAGCTGCAGCAGCAGCTGCTGCTGCTGCTGTTTCTGGTTCTCCGCATACAGCAGCAGGAACAGCAGCAATTCGAGCAAAAGCAGCAGCAGCAGCAGCAGCAGGTATACCTGTAGGCTGGGAGATGCTGGGGCTAACTGCAGCAGAAGCAGCAGCAACAACACAGCAGCAGCTGCAGCAGCAGCAGCAGCTGCTGCTAACAAAAGCAATAGAGCGTAAACACTTAGCAGAAACTGTTAAAGACAAAGAGAGCCAACCCGCCATTGTGAGTTCGTGCTGCTGCTGCTGTTGCTCCTGCTGCTGCTGCTGCTGCTGCTGTTGCTGCTGCTGCTGCTGCTGCTGGTGTAACAGCAGCAGCTTCTCTCTACTTGTAGTCTGCTGCATGTCTGCCTAGATCGTTCCCTCCATTGTCGTCCTCCTACGTGCTGCTTCTCCTACTTGCTGCTTCTGCTAATTGCTGCATCTGCTCCTGCTGCTGTTGCTGTTGCTGCTGCTGCTGCTGCTGCTGCTGCTGCTGCTGCTGCAGAAGTTGCTGCAGCTATCTAAGAAATTACGCCGTTTAGGTCTTGGTGATTTTTCTTTGGCATTCGAAGAAAATTTTGATTTTAAAATTCCCCAAGAAAAAGATGTCAATAAAATTGCTAATGCATTCTCAGACACGTAAACCCTAAACCCTAAACCCTAAACCCTAAACCCTAAACCCTAATTTTTTTTTTTCTTAGAAAAAAAAAATTGTATTTTAATAATTCCACAAGAAATAAATGTCAATAATATTGATAATGCATTCTCACATACCTAAACCCTAAACCCTAAACCCTAAACCCTAATTTATCTTAGATACAAGAATAATTAACATAAATGAATAATTTATTTGGTGTTTCTTGTTGATAATATTTAGGGATTAAGATGTTGAATTGATCTACTCCTTTTGAATATATATGCTGCTCTTGCTGCTGCTGCTCTTGCTGCTGCTGCTGCTGCTGCTGCTGCTGCTGCTGCTGCTGCAGTGTGGCACTAGTGTTGGCGGATTTAAAGAGAGCGAACTTTTCTAATGTGAAGGAAGAAGATGAAGATTTATCTCCGCCAGATACACAACAAGAAGAAGAAATTGAAGGTACTAGCTGCTGCTGCTGCTGCTGCTGCTGCTGCTGCTGCTGCTGCTGCTGCTGCTGTTTTTGCTTGTTTTGCTGTTGCTGCCGTTGCCGTATAGTAAGTACTACGCAGTTAATGACGTTTGTGGCTCCCGTTGCTCCTGCTGTTGCTGCTGGTGCTGTTGCTGCTACTGATGCTGTTATTGCTAATACTATTGCTGCTCTTGCTGCTGCTGTTGCTGCTGCTGCTGCTGCTGCTGCAGAGTATAAGGAGAATATGAAGCGTGAGTTTGAATCGCGTTGGAATATTTTCTTTGATGATCTTCTAAGCAAGCAGCAGCAGCAGCAGCAGCAGCAGCAGCAGCAGCAGCAGCAGCAGCAAGAGCAGCAGAAGGAGCATGAGGATCAGGCAGAGCGCCTATTGTATGCTAATAAGCAGCATCATGCTAATAAGCAGCACGATCAGCAGCAGCAGCAGCAGCAGCAGCAGCAGCAGGACGAGGAGGAGGAGGAGGAGCAGCAGCAAGACGAACTAAGAAGAGATATAGATATGCATGCAATGGTATATACAGCAGATGCTATAGAAGCAAATCTGCCGCAAATGCATGCACAAACAGCAACTAATGCTCTTCTTAATATACTGGTACCTCCTGCTGCTGCTGTTGCTGCTGCTGCTGGTGCGGGTGATGTATGTGCTGCTGCTGCTCTAGCTGTTGCTGCTGCTTCTGCTGCTGTTGCGAGTGATGTTCGTTCTTGTGTTGCTGCAGTTGCTGTAGCTGCTAGGTGCTGCTAGGTATGAAGGGCTGTGCTGCTGCTGCTGCTGCTGCTGCTGCTGCTGTGTTGCTGCTGCAGAAAGAGATGGAGTATTGGAAGATGCGTCTGCGGCACCAGCGGCAGGAAGAGCAGAGGCAGCAGCAAGGTGCTGCTGCTGCTGCTGCTGGAGGAGGAGAGGCAGCAGAAGAGAAGGGAGAAGATGATGACGACGAGGACAGCAGCAGCAGCAGCAGCAGCAGCAACGCAGGCAGCAGCAGACTGCATGCATTATTAGATGCGGGTTTTTCTGTAGTAATTAAAACCCCCTTTACAGCAGATGATCTCCTTAAAGAAAAAGAAGCAGCGCAGCAGCAGCAGCAGCAGCAGCACGAGCAGCAGGGGGAGCAGCAGGAGCAGCAAGAGCAGCAAGAAGAGCAGCACATCTATGATGATGCAGATTAATGCTGCCTAATGTATCTTCTTGCTTCCTAACCTGCTGCTGTTGTTGCTGCTGCTGCTGCTACTACTGTTGCTGCAGCAGCAGATGTTGCTGCTGCAGCAACATGTTGCTGCTGCTACTGTTTCTGCAGCAGCTGCTGCTGCGCAGCTTCCGTACGGATGGCTGCCCAACTCCCGACTACTGCTGCTGCTGCTGCACCGCAGCAGCAGCAGCTACTGCTGCAGCATTTGCTGCAGCAGCAGCAATCTAAATTGCTCAGCTAGCTAAACGGCTAGCTAATCAGCTAGTTAGCTAGCTAGCTAGCTAGCTAGCTGTTGTGTGTGGGGTGTCTATACACCTCAACACACATCAATGTTACCGCCCTTATTTGTTTAATTAATTAATTAATTAATTAATTAATTAATTAATTAATTAATTAGTTAATTTATTTATTTATTTAAATAATTAATTAAATTAAATATTTAATTAATATATTTCTTTGATAAGACCGTAGCCGTAAACCCTAAACCCTAAACCCTAAAATAGCAAACTATAAACCCTCTACCCTATAGGGTAAACCCTAAACCCTAAACCCTAAACCCTAGCCGTTCGCTGCAACCTTTTAGGGACGGCGGAGCATCTGCAGTTAAGAGAACAACAAAAATAGTTGCAGCATCAAATGCTGCTGCTGCTGCTGTTGCTGTTGCTGCTGCTGCTGCAGTTGCAGTTGCTGCAGCAGCAGCAACAACAGCAGCAGCAGCAGCTGCTGCTGCTCGCGGTCCAGCTGTTGCAGGCCGCTATGGCTATGCAAAGGCTAATATATCCTCTGCTGCCTCTGCTGCTGCAGCTGCAGCTGCTGCAGCTGCTGCAGTTGCTGCTGCTGAACGCTGTGGAGCCTTGTACGGATGGTTCCCGATAAAGGGGATCCTGCTGCTGCTGCTGCTGCTGCTGCATCTGCAGCCAACGCATGCATGCAGCACATAGAGAAGTGTATGTTGATGCAGTACGGCTAACGGAGTTGCTGCTGCAGTTGCTGCTGCAGTTGCTGCTCCTGGTGTAGCTTGAGCTGCTGCAGCTTCTGCTGCTGCTGCAGCTGCGTCGGGTGGAGATCCTGCTGCTGCAGCATGAGGGCTAATAACTGCAGCAGCAGCAGTAGCAGCAGCAGCAAGCCTGGTGCTGCTACCGTGCCATATTTCGCCGGTGTTGCAGCAAATTTTGCTGCTACTGCTGCAGCACGATTGCTGTTGCTGCTGCTGCTGCTGCTGTTCCTAGCAGTGTTGCAGCAGCATGTCAGTGCCCGTATCTTGCTGCAGCATTCTTCCTGCTGCTGCTGCTGTTTCTGCTGCTGCTGCTGCTTCTCCTCCTCCTCCTATACGACCCTTGCTGCTGCTTTTTCTGCAGCATCCTTACACCAGTTGCTGCTGCTGCTGCTGCTGCTGCAGTTTAATGTGGTGCATCTGCTGCTGGTGCTGCTGCATCTGTTGCATCTGCATCTGCTGCTGTTGCTGCTGCTGCTGCTGCTGCTGCTGGTATTTCTTGCTGTTTATTATGAATAAATTGATTATATTTACTAATATCTAGATTAGGTTTATTATTATAATAAGATTTATGTATAAATATACCATAAATATTAAGAAAACAAGGAAAAAAAAAGAAAGAAAAAGGAACAAAAGGAGAAGGAAATATATTTATATCTTTTATTAATTTATTTATATAAAAAAAACCATTCTTATATACATAAGGAGCCATCTTCTTCTTCTCCTTCTGCTGCTGCTCCTGCTGCTGCTGCTCCTGCTGCTGCTCCTGCTGCTGCTAATGCTGCTGATGCTGCTGCTGATGCTGCTGATGCTGGTGCTGTTGATGTATTATTAGTAATAGTTGTAGTTATATAGATAGATTCTTATTTAGATTTTGCTGCTGTTTGCTGCTTCTCCTGCTCCTGCTGCTGTTGCAGCAGCTCCTGCTGCTCCTGCTGCTGCTGTTGTTGTGTGGCTATAGATATATAAAGATTGGTGTATATATATACACTTGTTGTTGTTGCTGCTGCTGCTTGATGGGATATATACACCTCCTCCTGCTGCTGCTGCTGCTGCTGCAGTTGCTGCTGCTGCTGCTGCTGCTGCTGCTGCGTCTTCTGGGTTTCTGGTGTCACCAATAGACACAAATAAAAGAAGAAAATAAATTGATGATTTGCTGCTAATGCTGCTGCTGCTGTTTGCAATGCATGCAGAACTCAAATGTTGTAGCAGCAGCAGCAGCTGCTGCTGCTACTAGAGCTACAGCTGCTGCGGCTGCTGCTGCGGCTGCTGCTGTGCAGCAGCAGCTGCTGCGGCTGCGGCTGCTGCTACTCGCCGCCAGACCACAGCAATCTGCTGCTAGAACATTTTATGCTTTTGCTGCTGCTATTAAGCAGATAATTTGATTATAAATAATATATAATTGGGTTGTTGCTTGCTGCTGCTGCTGCTGCTGCTGCTGCCTGCGGTGTTGTGCCGCGGGAACCACATACAGACCCGCCGTAGCGAGCCCTAAACCCTAAACCCTAAACCCTAAACCCTAACTCGAAGAATTTATCGAGTTGACTCTTTGGCGTGTTTTTTCATTTAGTCTGGATGTGTGTTGCTGCTGGGTGTCTCCCCAGCAGCAGCAGCAGCAGCAGCAGCAGCTACAGCAACGGTGGCTGCAACAGCAGCAACAGCAACAATAGCAGCTGCAGCAGCAGCAACAGCAGCAACAGCCCAGCTGCAGCAGCATTTCTTTGTTTATCCTTGGCTGTTGCTGCTCGTATGCCTCGCTGCTGCAGCAGTGGGGCCACAGACAGCTCCCGTCTAGCTTACTTGCAGCAGCAACTGCAGCAGCAGCTGCTGCAGCCGTCTTAGTCTAGCAGCAGCAGCACAAACAACAATACTATTTGAAGGGGAGAAAGGCTTATTTGCTGCAGTAGCACCTGCAACAAGCCCCCGAACAGCAGCAACAGCAGCAACAGCAGCAACAATAGCATTAACACATCTCTTACAACCAACACCAGCAGCAGCAGCAGCAGCAACAACAACGGCAGCAGCAACAACAGCAGCAGCACCATCAGCAGCAGCAGCAACAAATCTCTTACGAACACAGCATACCTGTTACGACCCCCACCATCAACAGCAGCAGCAGCAGCACCACCCCACCAACCACGACCGCCATCAGCATCCCCACCCCAACCACCAGCACCAGCAGCAGCAGCATCAACAGCAACAGCAGCAGCAACAGCAGCAGCAGCAGCAGCAGCAGCAGTAATAATGGTGCGTGGTGTGAATTTTTTATCATTTCGTTGGCGATGCAGCAGAAGTTTATCATTGGCGATTGCAACAAGTGGTTGTTTATCATGGGTAGCTGCAAATAAATTCAAGGAAGCTATTCATCTTACTGGCAATCATGCAGATGTACAATCACCTAATAAGGTATTTATAAACACTTATTTAGGGTTTAGGGTTTTCTAATTCGAGGGTTTAGGGTTTAACTAGGGTTTCCCGAAATTTCTGCCCTTTTTGGAGGTCTGGCAAGGTTTTTTGGCGTTTTTAGGGTTTTTTAGGGTTTAGGGTTTAGGGTTTAGGGTTTAGGGTTTAGGGTTTTGGTTCAAGGGTTTAGGGTGGAAGCGCAAATGTTTTACCTTCGAATTGGATTTGGAATAATCGCGCGGCCGCCATCGAGGATTTAGGGTTTAGGGTTTAGGGTTTAGGGTTTGGAGTGTACGCGCAGCTGTTTTGCCTACCTTTTATTTCCAAGGGCTCGTTCTCGCCCTCAAGATTTAGGGTTTAGGGTTTAGGGTTTAGGGTTTAGGGTTTAGGGTTTAGGGTTTAAGATATATATAGGGTTTAAGACATAGAGGGTTTAGGGTTTTTGGATTTTTGTAGGGTTTGGGCATTAGTGTTTAAGATTTGGGGTTTAGGGTTTAGGATTTTTATTGTATGATATATTATTTCCTATCTTGGATTTAGGGTTTTTAGGGTTTAGGGTTTAGGGTTTAGGGTTTAGGGTTTTGGGGTGTATACGCAGCTATTTTGTTTACGGTTAGTGTTTGGGAGGGCCCGTTCTCGTTTATTGGGTCGATTGATGGCTTGGCGAATTCCTGTATCTTTACGACCTTTATTAATGTCAATTTTTCTTCATTTACAGGTAATAAACCCTAAACCCTAATTCATTATAAACCCTAAACCCTAATTCGTGGTTGTTGGATTATGCAGCGGCACCGTTTGCCACTGCGGCGGTGGTTTTACCGCTCGCTTCCTCAGCTCCACAGCCCCCCTAAACCCTAATCTGTAAACCCTAAACCCTAAACCCTAATTTGTGGTTTTGTTGTGTGTATATGCATGCAGCCAGCAGCAGCAGCAGACAGCAGATATCCATTGGAGGCTTATGAATCTTTTGGCGATTTATTTTGTCGTACATTAAGGGATAAAGCAAGAGAAATCATGGATTTATCTCCTTTTGCAATGGTACTCTAGGGTTTAGGGTTTAGGGTTTAGGGTTTAGAATTGTTTTTCCCCCATTTTTTGTGTTTCGTACAAACCCTCCTTTTTTTATCCGATTTTTTAGGGTTTAAGATTTTTTTAGGGTTTAGGATTTTTTAGGGTTTAGGGTTTAGGGTTTAGGGTTTAGGGTTTAGGGTTTAGGGTTTAGGGTTTAGGGTTTGTATGCAGGTGAGCCCGTGTGACTGTACGGTATCGATATTGGGTACAGTAGAAGGGGATCGCGTTCCCCAAGTAAAGGGAGCGACTTATAGCTTGAAGGGTTTTCTTGGTATAAACCCTCAAATAAATAATAACAATAAGGTCTGCTGCTGCTGTTGCTGCTGCTGCTGCTGCTGCTGTTGTTGTTGCTGTTGATGGTGCTGCTGCTGGGCGTGCTGTCCTGCTGCTGCACATGCAGATGCTGCTCTTTTTGTGCTGCAGCTGCTGCTGATCTTGTTGCGCTGCTTGTGCTGATGCTGCTGGTAGTGTGTTGTTCTGCTGCTTCTGCTGCTGCTGCTAGTATTTTGCTGCTGCTGCTGCTGCTGCTGCTCGTTTTGTGCATCTGCTGCTGCTGCTTTTGTGCTGCTGCTGCTGCTGCGGTTTGTATTGTTCCTCTGCTGTTAATGCTGCTGCTGCTTGACCTCCTACTTAGTCCCCTTCATTTTATCTTTTTCTGCTTGTGCTGCTGCGTGTTCTGCTGCTGCTGCTGCTGCTGCTGCTGCTGCTGCTGCAGTTAATGTACTGCGTGCTGCACCTGGCGCCGCACTACTACCATCATTTTCACGCTCCTTGCGATTTTACGCAAACAGTGCGAAGACATATGCATGGAGAGTGTCTACCTGTATTCAGATCCTTCCTTGCTAAATTCAATGTCAGTCTAGGGTTTAGGGTTTAGGGTTTAGGGTTTAGGGTTTAGGGTTTTCTAGGGTTTAGGGTTTTCTCGGGTTAAGGGCGTGGGTTTGGGATTTTTTAAGGTTTTCTAGGGTTTAGGGTTTTGGGGTGGCCAGATGGCGCTAGTTAGCGCGCTCCTTAGACGACCCAGACTGCAATTTTTAGGGTTTAGGGTTTAGGGTTTAGGGTTTGTGTTCAGGACATATTCAGTGTACAAGAACGTATAATTCTTAGCGGCAGTTGGATTGGCGGGGGTTTGCATATTGCTGCTGTTGCTGCATGCAATGTTGGGAATATTCGTCTTGAGAAAGAGCCCGTAAACCCTAAACCCTAGATAAACCCTAAACCCTACCTACCTAATCCTGCTACTGCAGCAGGGGTGAGCATAAGCGATTTTCTTATTCAGGAGCTTTTCCTTATCTACACTATATAAGGGTTTAGGGTTTCTAGGGTTTAGGGTTTAGGGTTTAGGGTTTATTATTCAGGATTTAAGGACAAATCAAGACCGTGTTGTGCTGAGGCATCTTGGGGGCGATGTAGACATCCGCACATATTTGGGTAAACCCTAAACCCTAAACCACCGCTAGATCTAAACCCTAAACCCTAATAGATTGTATCTTAAACGTTAGAATTGCCCCAAACCCTAAACCCTAAACCCTAGCAAGTTGCCATAATGGTCAAACCGTTAGTATAGGGTTATATATATCCTCCCATCTCCAGACTATCATAAACCCTAAACCCTCAAACCCTAAACCCTCAAACCCTAAACCCTAAACCCTTTTTTTTTTTTTTTGCAGATAAGCCCCTACATTTTGGCGTTGGATCGCATGTGGGAGAATTCCGATTGGGGAGTACAATTGTTCTTATCTTTGAGGCCCCACAGGAGTTTGAATTTTCGGTGGTAAACCCTAAACCCTAAACCCTAAACCCTAGCTAAAAAATACACCACCCCATCCCCTTCACCCCCGACGCACAATCAGGTAATTAACCAAACAGATAGCTAGCTAGGTATATGTATATATATTTAGCTAGCCAAGGGTACTCTTGGTGTATATTTATGGTGCTGCTGCTGCAGGCAGCAGGAGACAAGATAAGGGCAGGCAGCAGACTTGGAGGTGTTGGTCCCCCTGTTGTAGCTAAGGATGAAGGTAGCCGCAAGTTTATTCATTATTGACTACGGCTAGCTAGCTAGCCGTATGCTAGCTAGCTAGGTAGCTAGCTATCTAGCTAGCTAGCTAATTATATTATTATATATATAGATTCCTATATTTGGGGTAGGCAGCCTCTGCTGTCTCCCGTTTGCTGCCTGTAAGGGGCGGGTACCTGCTTCTGGCTAGCTATCTGGCTAGCTAGCTAGCTAGCTAGCTAGCCAGCTATTTTTATCTAGCTAGCTATCTAGCTAGCTAGCTAGCTAGCTGGCTAGCTACCTACTTGCTTTTTTTGTGGGCAGAGCCCGCGCCCCCCTAGTCCCGCACATTAAGCATATGGCTAGCTAAACAGCTAGCAAACCAGCTAGCAAAACAGCTGGCTAGCTAAACAGCTAGCTAATTAGCTAGCTATATAGCTAGCTAGCCAGCTAGCTGCCCCGCTTGCTGCGGAGGCCTTGCAGCGTGCAGGCCGTTAGCATCAACACTTTTTCCCCAAGTCCATCGCTGGCAAGGCGGTTAGCTAGCTAGCTAAATATACACGCACCTAGCTAGCTAGCTAGCTAGGTAGCTAGCTGAATATAGACACAGCTAGCTAGTTAGCTAGCTAAATATAGCGACGGCTAGCTAGTTAGGTAAATATATAGACAGCTAGCTAGGTATATACATAGACAGGCGCCTAAGCTGCCTAGCTAGATTGACAGCTAGCTAGCCACCTAGCTAGCTAAATAGGTATATAGACAGCTAGCTAGCTAGCTAGCGGTGCGGTGGTACGTATAGTAACTGATTGAAGAAAAAGAGTTGGTCCGGGACAACTTCCCTGTGCTGCTGCAGCACTTGCTGCAGCAGCTCGCTGCTACTGCTGCAGTTGCTGCAGCCAGCATGCGGTTCTAAGGAAGCATTTCAGTGTCTTGTGTGCCCGCCTCTTCTGCTGCGGCAGCCTGCTTTGCTTTCTCAGCAGCAGCAGCAGCAGCAGCAGGACCTCCTGCTGCTGTTGCTGCAGAGAATCGCCGCGAAGCAGCAAAGAATGCATTGGGGTGGTTACCCACATCATCACCTGCAGCAGCAGCAGCAACAACAGCAGCAGCAGCAGCAACAGCAGCAAAGTTCCTTTGAGATGAATTGTAGCAGTACTAGTAGTCGTAGTACTAGTAGACCAGCAGCAGTAGGTGCAGCAGCAGCAACAGTAGCACAAGGTGCAGCAGCAGCAGCAGCAGCAGCAGCAGGAGAATATATACCTGAACTACCAAGATGTGTTTGTGTATAGAATTCTTTGCATGCAAGTTGGTAGTCGCCTTTCTCTGCTAATTGCAGCACAGGCCGCACCTGCTTATCTGCAAAGAAAAAAAAAATACACAAATTAGGGTTTAGGGTTTAGGGTTTGGTAATAAACTAGGGTTTAAGGTTTAGGGTTTGGGGGGTAGTAAAGCACTCAAAGACGGAAAGCAAGCGTAGGCACGGTACATGCTGAAAAATTATTGGGGTTTAGGGTTTTGAAATTAGGGTTTAGGGTTTAGGGGTTCGAAATTAGGGTTTAGGGTTTAGGGTTTGGATACAATTTAGTCCCCATCCTTCAAGAAGCCTCTGAAGCCTTTTTATATCAAAACTTTTGAATGGACAGCCGTGAGCATCTCCTGTGCCGGGGTGCTGAGCTCGCAAACAACAAGGGTTTAGGGTTTAGGGTTTAGGGTTTAGTGCGGGCATTGCGCTGGGCTTGCTGGTGCTGTTGCTGCTGCTGCTTGTGGTGCTTGTGCTGCTGTGCTTGCTGGTGGTAATGATGGTGAGAGTGAATGCAGCTGTGCAGTGGAGACCTCTGTCTGATCAGCAACTAGTGTTTAGGGTTTAGGGTTTAGGGTTTACCCCAATGACAGCTCCACTGATTATCTGCGAACATCTTAATGGCGCATAATTCGCTCTTTTCCCCTCAAGACCGTACATATGTCTAATATTGTATGCATGCCTGTGCATAAACCCTAAACCCTAAACCCTAAACCCTAAAAACCCTCGTTCTTTGCATGCAAGCGTCATCAAGCACTGCACACGTTACTCAACCAACGCAGATACTCGCTGCAGCTATACAGTTTAGGGTTTAGGGTTTAGGTTTGTGTTTGAGTTCTCGGGTTTAGGGTTTAGGGTTTAGCTAGGGTTTAGGGTTTAGGGTTTACTCTTTCTCAAACTTTTGTGGCTCTCGCCACATCTGTCTATTGAATTGAAGATTTTCTTCGAGGGTCATTCCCGCTCCCTGAAACAAAGCCCTAAACCCTAAACCCTAGATAAACCCTGAACCCTAGACAAGCCTTAAAACCCTCGGGGAAACAACTGCTATCGTTGCTGCTGCTGCTGTTGTTGTTGCTGCTGCTGCTGTTGCTGCTGCTCACCTTGAAGAAGAGCCACAACTGCATGCGGCCGCCGTGACGTAGATGGTGCTCCGCCCTGCAGCAACAGCAGCAGCAACAACAGCAGGAGTTGCAGCAACAGCAGCAGCGGCAGCAGCAACATAGACTGGGCCCTTTATCACGTTCTAAAAGGAACTTATAATTAGGGTTTAGGGTTTAGGGTTTAGGGCTTTGGTCTTACAGGTAGCTCTCATATAGGCGGCGCATGCAAGGAGGAAAGGAGTCCTTGAATACCTGCAAACCCTCAACACCAAACCCTAAACCCTAAACCCCAGGCAAAACCCAAGACGAAGAACGAGAAGCAACCAAACTCTGTGCCTATTTGTCTCCACACGGAGGCTGCGAGGGTTTAGGGTTTAGGGTTTAGGGTTTGCGGCGAACTTGTTTTATCAATTGGGGTGTCAGCCGTTCTTCTGTACTCTTGACGGCGTTGTTGTTGAAGTCTCGTCCTAAACACAAACCCTAAACCCTAAACCCTAAACCCTAAACTCTGCTGTCTTAACCCTCAGCAGCACCGCTCCACCTACAAACCCCAACTCCAAACCCTAAACCCTAAACCCTAAACCCTTGGCAGAGACTCACCCAGGTAGACATTTGGCGCAGCGCTTAGTAGCTTCCCTACTCGCGAGTCCGAAAGGATGGTGTTCTGCGCAGAAACCCTAAACCCTAAACCCTAAACCCTAAACTCCAAAGCATAAACCCTCAAGAACAGACTACCGATTAAGGGTTTGGGGTGTACACGCACCTGCAGAGTAGCTTGACGTCCTTCAAGCAACTCAAAGGAATTGTTCATGGCAGTTCTGCAGACACCGCAACCAAACCCTAAACCCTAAACACTAAACACTATTTCCAGAAGGGTCTTCCACCCTTAAAAGGGTTTAGAGTTTAGGGTTTAGGGTTTGCTGTATGCCGACAACCCACCGTAGCCTTCCGCAGATAACAGTACCCAGCTCGAATTCAGGCACGTAAGCCATCATATCTGCAGACAAACCCTAAACCCTAAACCCTAATTCTTTGTTTGTAGGTGCGCAAAACGAGCTACGTCTCAGGGATGCACACAGAAGTGACCCAGTATAAACCCTAAACCCTAAACCCTAAACCCTAAACCCTGGGTAATGAGTCCGTACTTTGAATATACACTCGACGGTTCCTGACCAGCGGGCCGGCATCAGGGAAGCAAGGGACCTGAAGGTCAAACCCCAATCCAAACCCTAAACCCTAAACCCTAATCCCTAAACCTTTAAATTTGTTTGGAGGGAGACAACGCTTTGTTCAGGGTTGCGAAATCCTCAAACCCTGGGTCAAGGACGAATAAACCCTAACGACTTTAGGACAGCTAGGGTTTAGGTAGGGTTTAGGGTTTAGTTAGGGTTTAGGGTTTACGAGGTATAAATGTTGAACTTGTTGAGCAAGGTTTGCCCTAAAGAAGCCCGTGGCTGTTTTCCATAACTTATCCAATGCTGAACCCGCGACAGGGTCTCGTGGGCGTTGAATCTGTGCACAAACCCTAAACCCTAAACCCTAAACCCTAAACCCTTGAATTTTTATATATCCTTGGCAGGGATCCAGGTACTGTTTGTCTTGATAATATTTAAAGTTTGATGCTCCAATGGGGGAACCCTAAACCCTTAGAACGCTAAACCCCAATTCTAAACCTCAAACCCTAAACCCTAAACCCTAAACCCTCGTTTCTTACGCATGCATAATTAAGGCCTTCTTGCTGCAGGAAATTGGACAGCAAACTCTGCGATCCATCCTCTAGACCACGAAATGCACAGAGTCTATCTGCATGCAGACCCTCGTCTTCAAACCCTAAACCCTAAACCCTCAGAACCCTAAACCCTAGACACTAGTTTCACAGCAATGCAGCATAGAAGCCAACAAAGGAAGGAAAAGAGAGGTCTGAATTGAGGGTTTACAAGTTTAAGGGTTTAGGGTTTAGGGTTTAGAACTCGTGAAGGGTTTAGGGTTTACCGAATCGGTACATGAATAGACGAGACTCCTGCAGCACTAACCATCGTTGCTTGTCGCGATCTCTGCTGAATCTGCGGAGCAGACAACTCAAACCCTAAACCCTAAACCCTAAACCCTAGCGGTGGAGAAGCAACGGGAAAATTTCCCTTCAGAAGCGCGTGGGATCACTGGGGTTATTTACTGCTTCTCTAGGGTTTAGGGTTTAGGGTTTATAGAGTGCGGGTCGTTGTATGGAAGGCTAGGGTTTAGGGTTTAGGGTTTAGGGTTTACGCGACACGGAGAGCGAAGTGAGACATTGCATCCCTTTCTGCTACTTCTCTTCGTTGCTGCTCTGTTGCTGTTGCTGCTGCAGCAAGAGGCAGCATAAGTCCTCCCTCCTGCAGCATTTCTTCCAGCTGTATATACAGGGGCTTTGCTCCTGCTCCTGCGTCATTTCCTGCTGCTACTGCTGCTGCTGCTGGGGTCGATGATGCAGCCCGCAGCACCGAAGGGTTTGTAGAAGAATCGAGTCCAAACTTCTCATCCAAAAAGTGTAACACTGCGCAATTCACCAAACCCTAAACCCTAAACCCTAGGCCCGAAACCCTAAACCCTAAACCCTAAACAGCAAATAGCACGATGGCACCTTGAAACCGAGAGAGAGTTGTGTTATACAGCTGCTCTTTGTTGGTGAGTTCTTGTGGCTACGGTGTGGGGATTAGGGTTTAGTTAGGGTTTAGGGTTTAGGGTTTAGGGTTTACCGCGTAGGCGATGAGCAGTAGCGGACTCGAAGGAATCAACTTGTGTAACTATTGCAGGAGGATGCTGTCCATATACCCCAACAGGGTGAGGAAATCTACCTAATAAAGAAAGAGGCCTGTGTGCCTCTGCAGGCCGTGAAGGGTACGGCATTGTCATAAACCCTAAACCCTAAACCCTAAACCCTTAAAACCCTAAACCCTAAACCCCCGAAGAAACGGAGAGAAGGGTGAAGGCGACCCCTTGGTCGCGCATGCGGTGATCAAGAAGAATAATTAAATCTAAAAATCTAGGGTAATCCCTTAAAAACCCTAAACCCTAAACCCTAATAAACCCTAATAAACCCTAATAAGCCTTAAACCCTAAACCCTAGCAGCTGTCTCAGCTGCTGCGGTTCACCGCCTTCTTCTTAAGGATTCAGGTGTATGTACACCTCAAAACAAATGCTAAATAAATGGCAACATTTGCTGCAGTAGGACAAAAAGGAGATGTTAGAAGAAATACAACAACCCCACCATAGGAACACTCAGCCCCAACCTCAAGAGCAGCAGCAGCAGCAGCAGCAGCAGCGGCTGTGCTGCTGCTGCTGCAGCTGCTGCAGTCGATCTTTGCTTGTAGAGCTAGTTGCATATCTTGGGTTCTCTTTTGTTCGTTTTTGTGTGTTCCTAATGATGGAATAAGTATGTCTGTAAATTAGGGTTTAGGGTTTAGGGTTTAGGGTTTCGGGTTTGCCGTCTGCACGGCCGCATGCCGACGACATGACGGCGGACCGAAGAAGCTGATCGACCGTTGCAACCCGTAAACCCTAAACCCTAAACCCTGGACACCAAACCCTAATTATTGAGCTGCATAGAGGAGCCTTCTCCTCTGTATTGTATGAAGACACACCTGATGGCGGGTACTGCAACTCGTTGGTACTCCCTGACTAAAGGGTTTAGGGTTTAGGGTTTAGGGTTTGTGGCGATGGCCAGTAACGTGTTGTTGAGTTCATTTTTTTGTTCTAAGGGTTTGCTAACCTCTTCTTTGTCTTCGTGTGGGGTGTATGCACGCCCAGCAGCAGCAGCAGCAGCAGCAAAAGCAACAGCAGCAAAAGCAGCAGGATTGGGGTGTATACGCAGCTTCGCAACAAAAGAAAAGGGGAAAAGGGTTAGTTCTCCCTCTGCTGGTCCTCTTACCTCTAAACCCTTATCTCCCTTTGAGGTGCAGCGGCAGTCAATAGAGCGATGGTTTGCTGCTGCTGCTGCTGCGCTGGTGCAGCGGGAAAGACAGCTAAAAGAGATACAAAAACAGCAGCAGCAGCAGCAACAGCAGCAGCAGCAGCAGCAGGATATTGCTGCACTGATGCAGCAACCGCAGCAACTATTCTTTAGTATGAAGCAGCAGCAACTCCTTAATGCATATAAACGTAAACTTACGGATTTATATGGTGAGGTGTACGTACACCGCGAATGGCCTCTATTACGATTCGTAGCTAGACGACATTTCACAAACCCTAAACCCTAAACCATAAAAGGGTTTAGGATTTAGGGTTTAGGGTTTAGGGACCTCAAGTATAGGGCTTACGGGTCCCTCTTTTTTTTTTCCGCCGCGTATAGACTCTAAGGAAACTGTAAATCCTTTCTTGCTCCTGCTGCTCATCCTAGGGTTTAGGGTTTAGGGTTTAGGGTTTAGTCTTAGGTGAGCAGTGTCTAGAGGACGTAAACCCTAGAAACGTAAACCCTACAGGTGTAGACTGTAGAGACACAAACCCTAAAACCGTAAACCCTAGATAGGTGACCTGTAGAGGGATAAACCCTAACACCAAACCCTCATCTCCGCTGCTATTGCAGCAACAGCAGGAGTAGAAGCAGCAGCTTTTGCTGCTGCTGCTGCTGCTGCTGCTGCTTCTGCCTTTTTTGCTATATTTCCTCTTATATAGAGACAATTAAATAAAGGAGAAAAAAAAATAGAGGAGACAATCTTTTATTTACCTAATTAATATTACCCTTAGTTAATAATATAAATGGATCTTTTTTCTTGTATTATACATAAATATACATCTTGTTGCTGCAAATTGCTGTTGTGCAGCCCCAAAAGTATGCATGCGTTTTTCTTTTACATGTATGCATGTATGCATGCATGCATGCATTAACAAGAGGGAGGTTGTATGCATGCATTACCACAACTTTATAGATAAATACTAATTGCTATCCTTCTGCAAGGGAGAATGCGTGCATGCATGCATGAATTCATGATTAAGTATAATTAATGCATGCATGCATGCATGCATTAATTATATATAAATAGACGGCGTGTATAAATAGTAAGGAAGTGTATATATATATTATTATTTATGTATAAATAATACTAAATAATACTAATATATATTCGCTGATGTTTTATTGTTTATTCATTCATAAATAATTAATAATATTTAAGGGGAAATAAGAACTAAACACTCGTTGTAAACCCTAAACCCTAAACCCTTCTAGGGTTTACGTAGTTAGTAGTTACTAACTAACTTGCACACACACGAATACACGCACACACAGCATCAGTGCGACGCGAGGGGTTAATTGAGGTGTATAAATGATTTAAATTGGTAAAATTGCTAAATATAATTAATAATTAATTAATTATTTATTTTTTAATGTATTTATTTATATATTTATTGTTTATTTTGCTCCTTTTAAGCCCCCCGTAGTCAATGCAAGTAGCTACGAAACATTGCTGTGGGGGGAAGAAGAAAAGAGGAAAAGAAGAGGAAATGAGGGTTTAGGGTTTAAGTGTCGAGAAAAACCCCATTTATTTTATATATTTATTTAAAAATATAATTAATATAATAAATAAAATTAATAAAACCCTCTAAGGAAGCCCGTTTTTGCCTATTGGTAGTCTAAGGAGAGTCAATGCAAGATCGAGGGTTTAGGGTTTTACACACAGGGTTTATAGGCGCGTCAACTATCTAATAAATATAACAATTATGGATTAGGGTTTAGGGTTTAGGGTTTAGTGTTTGGGGTTTAAATTGCATTATTGGTAGATTTATGGGGACACGGGGGCTGCAGCCGCTGGAAGGGGAATATTAGCTTATTAGGGTTTAGGGTTTAGGGTTTAAGGTGCATCGCTTAGAAGTGTCGTCAATTTGTCTTAATAAACATGTTTTGAAGGACTTAAGGGGCACCGCTAAGGTGCTAGGGTTTAGGGTTAGTGCTTAGGGTTTAGGGTTTAGGGTTTGGGGGCTGGGATCGGAGCTTAGGTGGGCGGATCTTGCCCCGCCCGCGTTCGTGTGTTGGGGTGCATTGAGGGTTTAGGGTTTAGGGTTTAGGGTCCACATCTTTTTTTGGAGTCCTTATCTCTACTCTTAAATATATTTTTTCTTTTATTTTCTCCCTAAACCCTAATAAAAATGGCTCCTCGCTACCTCGTCCTCGTTCGCCACGGTGTGTGCTGCACGCAAGGGCTGCGTCTAGCTCTAGGGTTTAGGGTTTAGTGTTTAGGGTTTAGGGTTTAGCCGTACTTTAGCGGTTTAGCTTTAGTGTTTAGTGTTTAAGGAGTGCGGCTAAGGAAAGATGCATTCTTTGCCTCTCGCTCTTACCCCTGTCCTGTAACTGGTCCCTTCTTGCTGATGGGGGGATGCTAGGGTTTAGGGTTTAGGGTTTTAGTGTTTAGGGTTTGCGACTGTTTCCTGCTGCTAGACTTCCTCATGCTCGGGAGTTGAGTTTGCTGCTAGTGTTTGCACTCCTGGCGTATCCACGCACACGTCAGAGACCTGATGCCTTCTAGGGTTTAGGCGTTTTAGGGTTTAGGGTTTAGGGTTTAGGGTTTGTATTCAGGCGAGTCCGCATGGAACAAGGAAAACCGCTTCACTGGCTGGACTGATGTCCCCCTCTCTGAGCACGGTTTGAAGGAGGCCCGGTAGGTGCCAATTAGGGTTTAGGGTTTAGGGTTTTGGGGTCAGGTTGTAGGGTTATAACAGCAGCGGTTGGGGTGCAGGGTTGTGAGGGTTTATTGGAGGGTTTAGGGTTTATCGTCCGCGATTTGCCATTGCAGTCACTCTCTCCCTCTCTAGGGTTTAGGGATTAGGGTTTAGGGTTTAGGGTTTGTGTGCAGCGAGGCGGGAGATATGATCCGCGACAAGGGTTTGAAGTTCGACGTCGCATACACCAGCGTCTTGAAGAGGTGCGCATACACCCCATTATTAGATGTAGTACTTGCTAATTAGGGTTTAGGGTTTGGATTAGGGTTTAGGGTTTGGATTCTGGGGTTTAGGGTTTAGGGTTTAGGGTTTGTGTTTGTTCATAGAGCTGTCGAGACCTGCTGGACAGTCTTGATGCACTCCAACCAGTGCTACCTCCCCATCAAGAACACATGGAGGTAAGCAGCAGCAGCAGCAGCAGCAGGAACTGCAGCAACAGCAGCAACAGCAACAACGACACCAGCAGCAGCAGCAGTAGCGTGTGTGTTTTGTTGTGAGTGTTTGTTGCATGCACGGGTTACCGTGCAAAGTATGTTTGTTTAGCTATTAGGGTTTAGGGTTTGGTAGACTCTAAACCCTAAACCCTCAGGGTTTGTCTCCTATTGGTGTGTACAGACTTAACGAACGTCACTATGGTGCTCTGCAAGGATTAAACAAGGCAGAGACTGCAGCAAAGCACGGCGAGGAACAGGTAATTAGGGTTTAGGGGTTATCTAGGGTTTAGGGTTTATAGAGAATATATATGATGAGCGTTTAGTACCAACTGTATGTATATATATACATAAATATATTCTGTGTGTATCTCTTCTCTTTCTCTTTTATTTTATATATTTATAACCTATTTACTATACTTTAATTAGGGTTTAGGGTTTAATTAGGGTTTAGGGTTTATGTATATATATAGGTAAAAATATGGCGCCGCGCCTACGCCGTTCCTCCTCCCCCTCTTGAGCCCGAAGACAAAAGGAATGCAAAATTTGAGGAAAAATACAAACATTTACCTCAGGAGGTATTGCCTCTTACGGAGTGTCTTAAGGATACAGTAGAAAGAGGTTAGCTAAACCCTAAACCCTTTTTTTCTTCTATTCAAATACTTTTTAAGGGTTTATTAGGGTTTAGGGTTTATAGGGCAGGATGGGAGGAAGCGAACAAGGGGTTATTCGGTACACTTACTGGGTATAAGAAAGGGGATATCTAGGGTTTAGGGTTTATTAGGGTTTAGGGTTTAGGGTTTAGGGTTTGTGTGCAGTCCTTCCTTACTACTTCGATGAGATCGCTCCTGCGCTCTTGGCTGGACAGAACGTCTTGGTTGTTGGTAAGTACAAGGAGTTATAAAATTAGGGTTTAGGGTTTAGGGTTTAGGGTTTATAGGTTTTTTTTTCAATTTCTTTTTAAAAATTTTTTTTTATATATTTATAAATACAAATAAATAAATAAATAAATAAATATGATTAATTAATGAATTTCTTTTTGTGTTTCTTCCTTTGTGCATGCAGCTCATGGCAACAGTCTTAGAGGTTTAGTAAAACATTTAGACAAAATGTCTGAGGAAGATGTCTTAGAATTGAATATTCCTACGGCTGTTCCTCTTGTTTATGAATTAGATGAACATCTTAAGCCTATTAAGAAGTACTATCTTCTTGATGAGGAAGAAGTAAAGGTAAATAGCTTTTTTTTTGCTGCTATTTGCTGCTGCTACTGCTGCTGTTGAGGGTGCTTGTTTCTTCTGTTTGTTACTGCTGTTTTGTTGCTTTTTTTTTGGTTGCTGCTGACCCTGGATACATGTGTGGTTAAGGAATTAGGGTTTAGGGTTTAGGGTTTAGGGTTTAGGGTTTGTGTGTTATGTGTACAGAAGAGGATTGCCGCCGTGGCAAATCAGGGGAAGGCTAAGTAAATGTGAAGTCCCCACTTGTTTTAATTGATTAAATAAATAAATAAATAAAATAAATAAATAAAATAAATAAATAAATGAATAAAATAAATAAAACAAATAAATAAGACAACAACAGAGACTCTCTCCTTATATTTTAACGAAGACAATTTTTCTTTCTTACAGATGGCGTTACTTTCAAATTAGGGTTTAGGGTTTAGGGTTTAGGGTTTAGGGTTTAGAGGCATTCGCTACTTTTGCTGACAAAAGGAGAAACGGCAAACCGATTAGGAGTAGATAGTCATGATGCCTATTGCACCTAGGGTTTAGGGTTTTTAGGGTTTAGGGTTTAGGAGAACACCTTTATCACGATGTCTATGCAGCTAGGGTTTAGGGTTTAGCAACACGCCATAAAGAACAAATAAATCCCGTTGCTGCTGCTGCTGCTTACGCATACGTGTACTAAACCCTAGTTTCCTCTAAACCCTAGCATCCTGTAAACCCTAGCATACTCTAAACCCTAGCAAGCAGCATAAGCTGTGGATATGTTACTGCAAACCCTAAACCCTAATAGCAAACACTAAAGAGCTGCTGCTGTGTTAACTCCTCCGCTGATCCTGTAGGGAGGGCGAGGCGGCGCAACAGCAGCAAGGCGGAGCAGCACCTGCTGCAGCAGCACCTGCAGCAGCAGCACCTGCAGCAGCAGCACAAGCTGCAGCAGGAGCAGCAGCAGGAGGAGCAACACCAACAGGAAAGAGTGCGCATAGCAAGAGAGAGAAATTGAAGTCTCTATTCAAGAGGGGAGACTAAATAGGATGAGGGACGGAGCAGCAGCAGCAGCAGCAGCAGCAAGGAAATAAGCTGCTGCTGCTGCTGCTACAAGGGTACAAGCTGCTGCTGCTGCTGCAAGGGAAGGAGTTGCTACTGCTGCAGCATGAAGACAAGCTGCTGATGCTGCAGCAGTAAGGAGACAAGCTGCTGCTGCTGCTGCAGCAACAAGAAGCTGCTGCTGCAGCAAAGAAGATGTGCCTTCGCCCCATGTACAGCACCCAAGGGGCATTAAGGAAGAAACAGCAGCAGCAGCAGGTGCTGCTGCTGCTGCAGCAACGGCAACAGTTACATGGTAAGGAGCAGTTGTTGCTGCTGCTGCAGAGCAGCACCTGCTGCAGCCGCTAAGACACCAGCAGCAGCGGCAGCTGCTGCTGCTGCTGCGCTTATTAATAAATAGCTTTTGTTCAGCAGCAAGAGGAGACAACAAGGGAAGAAATATTTATTTATTTTTCTTCCCTTCTTTATGTATGTGGCTCCTTTATTTGATTGTATCCTCCCTAAGTCAGCTAGCTAGCTAGCTAGCTGAATAACAGGTGGCAACGGCTAGCTGACTACGAGGTGGCTAGGGTAGACTAGCTAGCTAGCTAGCTAGCTAGCCAGGTAGGTACGTATCTAGCTAGCTAGTTAGCTAGGTAGCTAACTAGCTAGCTAGCTAGCTAGCTAGCTATAGAAGAAGAGCATTTTACGTCTGGCTAGCTAGCCATCCGCTGCAGTTATTCCTAAAATCCTCAGAAGCCCATGAGGACCCCAACTGGAGGCGGTGGGGTGTATAGGCACCTGAATAGCTAGCTAGCTAGCCAAGCATATAGCTAGCTAGCTAAGCAGATAATATATATATTTATATATATATTTAGATTTATATATAAATAATAAGATATATAGCCAGCTAGCCACACAGATAATAGCTAGCTAGCTACAAAGATATTAGCAGATTATATATA